GGTTTTAGAGGGGTTTTGGCCATTTCCAGGCTGGTTTCCAGCCATTTCCAGCCTGGTCTTAGCTTGGCAGGATGGAAAATGACCAGCTAAATCCAGCCAAAACCAGCTTGAGCAGTCTGGTTTAAGCTGGATATAACTGTTTTTGACTGGCTTCCAGCCTGGCTATGTTGGTCAAGCTGGTTTTAGCTGGTCATCTTCCAGCCTGACCAGCTAAGACCAGACTGGAAATGGCTGGAAACCAGCCTGGAAATGGCCAAAACCCCTCTAAAACCAGGCTGGTCGACCAGCTAAAACCAGCCAACCAGCGTAGACTGGTTTAAGCTGTTTTTTTTCAGTAGGGAAAAGCCAGCAAGAAGAGAAACTTCACAGAATGTGAATTGGAGGTGCTTTTATCGGAGGTAGATCACAGAAAAGCAGTGTTATTTGCAAGTTTGTCCTCCGGAATTAATAACAAAAGAAAAAAATAGAGTGGGAGAGTTTAGCTGACGCGGTTAACGCAGTGGAGACTGAACATTGCACGGTGAGTGAATTATAAAAAAGAAGTCAGCTGTTTTCATTCAGCACAGAATCACAACGCCGCTTTGCTGTATATTCAATAAGACTGATTTACTTCAACAAATGTGATTAGACTTGGAAATACATAAACTTAATAAAGTTTTGGCTGATGAAAGAAACGGTGTTAGTATGGAAGAAAACACTGCACTTACGTGGTTCTTCTGAAATCTTTCTGTAAGGTAGGATACTCTGGCATTTTTCTGATATCTTCCCAGTCTTTATCTATAGGAAAAAGGAATCAACTTTACATAACAGTGCACAGTGATGACGTTCTGATGCTCGGTTTGAACTGCAGCAGATCGTCTTGCCCATGCCAACATGTTTAAATGCATTGAGTTGCTGCCATGTGATTGGCTGATTAGAAATTTGCGTTAACGAGCAGTTGGACAGGTGCACCTAATAAAGTGTATATATCAGTTCGAGAAAGGTTTGTTTGCCTGCCCTGCTGAAAAAAACAGCTTAAACCAGCCTAGGCTGGTTGGCTGGTTTTAGCTGGTTGACCAGCCTGGTTTTAGAGAGGTTTTGGCCATTTCCAGGCTGCTTTCCAACTATTTCCAGCCTGGTCTTAGCTGGTCAGGCTGGAAAATGACCAGCTAAAGCCAGCTTGACCAGCCTGGTTTACGCTAGATATAGCTGGTTTTGGCTGGGCTCCCAGCCTGGCTAGGCTGGTCAAGCTGGTTTTAGCTGGTCATCCCCCAGCCTGTCCAGCTAAGACCAGGCTGCAATGAAAAAAGTGTTGCATGCAGAACTGTTGCAAACAATTTGTTTGTGTTGAATTTAAACAAACAAATTAAGTTTAGTACAACTTAATGTTCAACTTAATTTGTTTGTTTAAATTCAGCCCAAATAAATTGTTTACAACCTCTTAATGTAAAGAAATTGAGTAAATCCAAGGAATCATCTTCGAATAATTTTTTTCAGTGTGGAAATGGCTGGAAACCAGCCTGGAAATGGCCAAAACCCCTCTAAAACCAGGCTGGTCGACCAGCTAAAACCAGCCAACCATCCTAGGCTGGTTTAAGCTGGATTTTTCAGTAGGGTGGTCATTGCAGGGTTTGAAAGTCACTCTATTATTATCATTTTCTTGTAATTTTGCTATTATAATGGCTACAAATAAACTATTATTTTATATAATCTGCCAAAAGGGTAAACAAAATAATGTTGGTTTCGCTTTGAAAGTCATTGGTTGATAATTTTGACATATTATTCCTTAAAACAAGACATTATTTTGTACTTGTCTAGAAAAAGCTTCTTGCTTTAAGAATTTTGAGATATTTAGACTAGAAACAAGACATAAACTTTAAGTAAGAATTATATTTTGCAGTGTACCTGCTGGGAAGCCCATGACGCTGAATATGCGATCTAACTGGTCGTGATGGAAAGGATTGCTGGTCTTTATGTCCTCTTGTCGACAATGGAAGATTGGCTCTGACGTCAGCAGCTCCGCAAAGATACAGCCTATTGCCCAAATATCTACAAACACAGTCAAACAATGTTAAGTGCAGATAACAAAGGGTAGATTGGCCATGAGCAGGGCCAGACGGAATCTGCGGATGTGTTTTTGCTATTTCTGCAGAGAAATTTGGTAAAAATTTGTGGATTTCTGCTGAATTATTTTGGGAGTATCATAACTAAAACCTTAATATATGAAATAAAAAAAATTATACCTTTTTAACTTTTATTTAATGTTCAAAATGCAAATTAGATTTAGCTTTTTTGGTAAATAAAGCAAGTCTCTTAAATAATATCTCTTCTAAAAGCCGGAAATAATACTTACTGCATTGTGCATAAATCAGATGCCCTAACCCTAACATTTTCATATTAGTCAATAATGTTACTGAAATTAATTTAAAAACTGAATAAATTTAGATTTACACACATTTACTCAAGTAAATAAACAGAATTAATGATGGGCTAAAAATCTGCGGAAAATCTGCGGAATTCTACGCAAGCAGATTCCGTGTGGGCCTAGCCATGAGTAAAGTCGACGCACAGCTCACCGATTGCTTTGGTGTAGTGTCTCGCCCCGAGGAGCAGTTCAGGCGCCCGGTACCAGAAGGTGACGACCACTGGGTCCAGATCAGCCAGAGGCTTCAGCGGAGAGTTGAAGAGTCGAGCAAAACCCATATCAGCTACGACACACAAGCACAGACACACGTGAATAAACCATATAATAAACCATTCAGTCTGCAGATCACTCCAGCCTCAGCTGAGCTGTGCTCTTTTACTCTACACTGCAAAGAAGACTTTTCTCATGTAGATGTCTAGATCAGATATCTCTTAAAGGGCCAGTAAACACCCCTGTTTCAGCAGGGTGTTTTCACACCTCTAGTTTGAAAAAAGTCAGGAAAGTGAGTGTGTCACTTTTTTATCCCTGCTAAAAAATCCAGCTTAAACCAGCCTAGGCTGGTTGGCTGGTTTTAGCTGGTTGACCAGCCTGGTTTTAGAGGGGTTTTGGCCATTTCCAGGCTGGTTTCCAGCCATTTCCAGCCTGGTCTTAGCTTGGCAGGATGGGAGATGACCAGCTAAAACCAGCTTGACCAGCCTAGCCAGGCTGGGAGCCCAGCCAAAACCAGCTATGTTGGGAACGTTGGGTTATATGTTGGGGTATAATATAACTGTTTTAAAAGAGTAGTGAAAATGAAGTGTAATCACTAGGGATGTAACAATATTGTAAATACCGTCATACCGCAATAGTAATTTTTTTCAATATTACCGTAGGCGCATGACTCAATAAAACTATATTTCTGAGAAAAGTTTGCTCAGGCGAATGAAGCGAACGGGAGGTAGCGGGAACTACAATTCCCATCAGCCCAGGCGTGGCCATCATCACAGCACACTTGTTAGATTGAAGCAACCATTGACTTGTACAGCAAAGAGACCTCTATCTCACTCATGGTTTGTCCTCTCAAGTGGTGGAAAGACAATGCACAACGTTACCCACTGCTGTCAACCTTGGCTAAATCATATCTCTCTGTCCCAGAAACCTCAGTCCCAAATGAGAGGGTTTTTTCTATTGCAGGGGACATTGTAAATGCCCAGAGATCCCAGCTTTTACCAGATTATAGTTATATGATAATTTTCCTTAAAAAACCCATCTCTATCTAAGTGAGTGAGTGATTAAATGTTGAATGTGATGAGTTTTCAACAATACTACATTGAAACTATTTTTTTTATATGGTTTTATAGTTTTTTGTTATTAAAATTGAAAAATTGAAGTTCCTGTTTCGAAACTTTCAGATAGATGGTTAATTTGTATGTCATTGATATGTTCAGTGCTAAGGTAAATAAACCCTTTTAGCACTTTTTTCGAGTCTTTTTATTAGTTTGTTTTTACTGTAAATTTTTCAATAAATACCGTACCGTGCCATTCATACCGAGGTATTATCGTACCATTAAATTCTAATACCGTTACATCCCTAGTAATCACTGTGACAGAAATGAGCTAAAGCAGCACATTTTGTTACAAACACTCCAGACACAATTAATAGTGAAAAGTCAAAGTGAAACATTATTTTTTAAAGCTTCATATAAGGTAAAATCGTGGGCCGTGTTTCGTCCTATAACCAGGCAGAGACTACAGGACTCAAGAAGACCACTTCAGGCCAGCAGTGCTCGAGGCAGCATGTACGATTAATAATTCATGCTTTCTCACTAAGAAATGCACATCTTGAGTTGAATGTAGCAGTATGTTGAGCTTAAAGGGCTAGTTCACCCTAAAATAAACATTTGCTTACTTACTTTCCCTCAATTGCTTCCAAAACTATGTTTCTTTCCTACTATGGAAGTCAGTGGTTACTGGTTTCACCTTTTTCTGTGTTCAACATGGGCGGCACGGTGGCACAGCACTGTCGCCTCACAGCAAGAAGGTCACTGGTTCAAGCCTCGGCTGGGTTAGTTGGCGTTTCTGTGTGGAGTCTGCATGGAGTTTGTGTGGAGTTTGCATGCTCTCCTCGTGTTGGCGTGGGTTTCCTCTGGGTGCTCCAGTTTCCACCACAAGTCCAAAGACTTGAATTGGGTAAGCTAAATTGTCCGTAGTGAATGAGTGTGTATTGGCATTTCCCAGGGATGGGTTGCAACTGGAAGGGCTGTGTAAAACATATGCTGGAAAAGTTGGCGGTTCATCCTGCTGTGGTGACCCCAGATTAATCAAGGGACTAAGCCGAAAAGAAAATGAATGGATGAATGTGTTCAACAGAACAAAACAGCCCAAAATGGTTTGGATCAAGTCAAGGCGTGAGAAAATGATGGCAGAAACTTTCGCTTTTTTGGGATGAACCAGTCCTTTTAAGTTGCACTAGCAAGAAAACGTTTATACCCAATCTTGAGCCCTGGATTAAAAGATTAGTTTCGCTGCTTAAGTGATGAAACAGCAGTGGTCACGTTGAGTCAAACTAACGCTGAAAGACACACAGTAACCAAACACAATAACACATTCCACATGGTGGTAAAAATAGTGCCCTGAACACTCATCGCCCAGAATAGAGTCTTATGTAAAACAATGGCTTCACATTTACCCAGTCTGACCCTGATGACCGCCGCCTAAGCACTCTAAAGCCTAGTTCACACTACATTGCTGCATCCCAATTCGCATGCTATCCATCCTTAATTCTTCATTTTCTTTTCGGCTTAGTCCCTTTATTAATCTGGGGTCGCCACAGTGGAATGAACCGCCAACTTATCCAGCATATGTTTTACACAGCGGATGCCCTTCCATCACTGGTGATCATCCATACACCCTAATTCACACTCATACACTATGGACAATTTAGCCTACCCAATTCACTATAGCGCATGTCTTTGGACTGTGAGGTAAACCAGAGCACCAGGAGGTAACCCATGTGAACACGGGGAGAACATGCAAACTCCACACAGAAAACCTTCTTGCCGTGAGGCGATCGTGCTACCCACTGCGCAACCGTGAGTCCCCCATCCTAAATAGGATTTGAAAATAGAATTAGTTTGTTCCAACCGGTAGCATGCAGAAAAGTGTAGAACCGTTCGCCAATATCGCCCACAATACATTGTGCTTTGGAAGTGAATTCAATTAGAACAACAAACTTGGGGGAAAAGTGTAAACAAACTACAAACATGGTGGACATGCAAGACCAACCGTCAAGTAGAGAGAAGATGTTCGAATGACTATTACTTAATATCTAGACAACTGGAAGATATTTAAATCACATTTCCTGAGTTATAAACCATCTGCAGCAATAATATGAAGTTTTATAAAGACGTGTTTGGACTTCTGAATGCATTACACAAACACCTGCAAAGATCTCTCTGCATGAAAGAATCACAAATGGCAGATTAACACAGATCTGAAAAGACGAATGACCAATCTACGTCACACATGACGTCACACAGGTTCCCGGAGTCAAAAAGAGACCGGTTGCAATAGCAAACATGTCGTGTTGTGCTGTAGGATGTGTTGGAATATCTAGGCAATTCTATGTGTGTTCAATAAGAAAAGGTCTGGAGAGTGTTTTCTTCAATGCCAAAAATATTAGTAATTTATTAGATACAGATGAATAATTCAATGACAGAGCTCTGGGTTATGGTACCCCCATGCAATACAAGAATTACATTCAAAAGGTTCACAACTAACTTACTTTTCCTGACTCCAGCATATATACACAACTGATATTAACAGGTGGAGTGTTGGTTTAACGTCACTGATCAGTCATTCTGCAGTCCCTTGGCTCTTTGTAACCCCTAGACATACTTCCTCTTTTTGCAACCCTTCTTTGCATACCAGAACTGAACAATTACATGCATCTTTAATATATTTCACAACTTCTACAAAGATCATGCTCCTTGTGACTTGTCCAGACAGCAGTCTGGACCAAACCTAAATTTATTCTTATTCTGCTTTTTCCACTAGTCAGCAGTTCTTCTAAAAAGTATGCAGCACAGTAAAAAAGACGAAGTGTGTCTGGTCAAGATGTGTTATAATACAATAGAAAAGATTGATTAATCTGTTGTTAGCCTAAACATATTTCTAATAAAAAATAAAGACACAAAAGTAATAAAAATAAATTCCTTTTTTCCTACAGATGACAAATTTGAAAAGTCCACAAATAGAAAACCTAACTTTTACTGTACACCACACTGCTTTAATGCAAACTGCACACGTCTTTGGCTAAAAGGGAGCTGAATGAAGTGACGACCTATTTAAAAATGCTGGACTCTGCAGTTTTCATGTCATATCAGGTAAGTTCACGCTATGCTGAATCATACTCATTACTCATTTTACTCATTCAGCAATAATTTCAGCAAAAACAGTCACATATGGTGAATTAAACTGCGGACACTGAAAGCTAAGAATGAAACGTGAAAGTGTAAGTTATGAAGGTAAACTTGGTTTTATATACACACATTCATTCAGTGACAACTTGTGACACACTCCCTATATTGTTTACCACGGCACTTTGAATATTTGGTCTGAAATAACCAGCAAGTGTGACTTCATTAACATCATTAACACTGGATATTTTGTTTATTATTAACATTGTTTATAAGCCGGCAGCTAGTTCTTTGCAACTCTCACATGGTTGCCCATTGAAGCAAGGCAGGGCTGTGCCCGGTCAGTACCTGGATGGGAAACCACATGGGAAAGCTGGGTTGCTGCTGGAAGTGGTGTTAGTGAGGCCAGCAGGGGGCGCCCAACCTGCGGTCTATGTGGGTCCTAACGCCCCAGTATAGTGACGGGGACTCTATACTGCTCAGTGAGCGCCGTCTTTCGCATGAGACATTAAACCGAGGTCCTGACTCTCTGTGGTCGTTAAAAATCCCAGGATGTCCTTCGAAATAAGAGTACGGGTTTAACTCCGGCATCCTGCCCAAATTTGCCCACTGGCCTCAGTCCATCATAGCCCGCTAACCCTCCCCATATCATTGTTGGCTTCATCACTCTGTCTCCACCAATCAGCTGGTGTGTGGTGTGCGATCTGACGCAAAATGGCTGCCGTTGCGTCATCCAGGTGGATGCTGCACACTGGTGGTGGATAAGAAGATTCCCCCCTATGTGTAAAGTGCATTGAGTGCCCAGATAAGTGCTATATAAATGTAAGTAGTAGTTATTTGACTGTGAACAATGTTGTACTTTGATAGTCATTGGCTGCTAATATGATTTCTCTAGTTAGAGTTTGCAAATAATACTTTTATGACAATATATTATTAAGGAGAAAGTCTGAATTTGCGAATATAAAACCAACTTTTCCTCTATGTGTAGGTTCACATATCCTGCCGTACAGTTGCAGTTCGCTGTCAGAATGCAGTTTGCTTGTTGATGATTACCCAGGCCTTGTACAGCTCCGTCTTTCCTTGTCTTTGGCTAGACAGAACCTCGGTTTTTAGCACTACATAGTTTTGAATCTGCCAATCATGGAGCATTATTTCTTGCACATGACCACACAGAACACTGTTGGCATCCAAAGACTTGTAGGGCTTTAACTTCTCTCTTGTTAAAACACCTGGAGTTTCAATGAGATTGTATATTTGGGGCTGGATGCTTGGCTATTTTTGTCAGGGTTCTGCCACTCTGATCTTGTATATTCTTGTTTTGGTGGCAGATCTCGGACACTACTCGTGTCTGGTCCTGTTTCTGTCTCTGTGTGCGCGCGCGCCGTCGTGGGTGTACGCAGAGTGGGCGCGCTCCTGCTTGACGCGGCCGCGCGCGCGCTCTGCGTCCCTCAGACGCGTGCGCTCTTGTACTCGTGTTTGTGTTTTCGTCTGTCAGCAGCATGGTGTTTTATTGTCTTGTTGGTTTCGGTTTTGGTCGGCGCTGGGATGAAGCATGCATGCTGCATGTGTGACCGCACGGTGAGTGTTTTCATTCATCGTGTGCTCGTGTCTTGCGTCTTTTGTCAAAGCACGTGGCTCGGTGTTTACATTGTGGTCACGTGCTTTTGTCGTGTGCTTCAGTGTTGTGTTATGTGAGCGCATGGCTTGTATTGTCTCTCTGTGTCATGCGCTCTCCCGTCTATTGTCTTGTCCCACCCACCTTGTTACCTTGTTTGTAATTATTATTTTCACCTGTCCGCCTGTCTGTTTATTGGTTTGTCTTTCCTATTTATTCTCCTAGTGTGCTCTGTTCTGTGCTGGTCCGTTATTGATTGTTCCCTTCCCTGTTGCTGATTTCCATTCTACAACAGCGGTTTAAAGTATTGTCTTGAAAAGTTCCAGATCTTGTCTTGTTGAGTGTGTAATATAATGTTGTGTTTTTCCCCACATGGGGAGATTTGAGTTTTGTTTTTGTTTTATTTTTTCATTAAATTCTTCATTCCCTGCATTTGGGTCCTCGCCTCCTCTTCATCACCACCCCCATACCGTGACAATTTTGTCCTATCCAGTATCCATTGGGAGAATGCTATCGCAAATAGACCTGTCAGATGAACGCCGCTCACTCTGTTAATTTTGCCAAATCACTGTGCTTATCACTGGGTGGCGAGCTGTTCTAATACACTGAAAGCACTATGTAAATAATATATATATAATATGTAATCAATATAACTTATCTCTAAGACAACAACAAACTCTGTACCGCATCGGATGTCATTCCCTCGCTGTACAGTAAATGCTAGCGCTCCTGTTTTTTTCTGCAACCCCGCGCATCCTGAATGTTTACAAACATGGTCATTTGTCCATATCTCCTATAAGGGAGGTAATTAAATATGACAGAAATGTGGATGATGTGTCGAGATGATTTACAGGGGATGTAACCAAGCAATTAGAAAGTAGTTAGTCCCAAAGTTTGCACACTCCTCTGTCACACACTCAAAACAAATGTATTTTTATAATACGTCATATGTATGCGAATTGGGAAGCAGCACATGACTTTAAACATTGACAGATCAGACTACATGACTGCTTCTCAATTCCAAGAACACAGAGAATATTCTTGTCGAGTTACCTCAGGAGACCGTGGGAACAGAGAACGCGTCCTGTGAGAAATGAGATGCTGCGTTCATCCTGGTCACATGACCTTCACGCAATTTAATTGGGAATTATTTAAGCATTACAGCATTCATACAGCGATTTATTGTCTTCTTTTGGTTTTTCAGTAGATATACCACGCACAAATGTCCTACCAAGATATTAGAACAATATAAATAAAACAGATTTGACTTTGAAATTCAGCAAATAAACACCTTTAATGTGTTTATGGCTTTATTGGGATTCTCATGTGATTGTTTACTACCACCGTATCATTTGGGGCAACTCCTGAGACAATCAAGTTATCTCTGAACTTATATATAATTTGGTATATAAGCAGCTGTGCTTTCCACCTCCTTCATTTTGCCGCATTGACTTCTGGGATTTCTAATGCAAGTACAGTGCTCAAGTCTGCATTAGTGTAACAAGGGATGTGACGCTGACAACAGGGGTGCGGATCCAAATGCAGGATTATTGGCGAGGTCAGGGAAGCAGTGGTCAATACAGGGGCAAACAGGCAATCCAGAGTCGTAGTCAAAAAGACAGGCAGCAAACAGGATTAAACAAACAAACGAGGAACAAAAACACGGCAAAGCAACACAAAGGAAATGGTTGTAATGTTGCTTTACAGTAAACAAGACTCAGCAACAACTCTGTGTAAGTGTGCTGTATTTAAATTGCAGTAATCAGTGCAAAAGCAGCTTCAGCTGTGAGTGTCTAATCAGGGCTGGCGCGTCCGCACAGGCGACCTAGGCAGCTGCCTGGGGCGGCAGAAAAGAGAGGGCGGGATTCACGACCCTCCCTCCTCCATCCTAACTTTTATCCGCGACAACCCCCCACATGCAGCAATCCAATGTAGAAAGAATGAGTTTTTACCAATTTTGACTCGTCCTCGCTCTGGACCTTCCCCCATTACCAGGATATTGGCAGGTTTCTGAAAGAGAAAAAGGACAATAGATCATGATTATCATACCTGCTTCTCTCAGACTGTCGTGTGATGTTGCAGTCTATTTAGGCGTGTGCGAGATGATGATTTTTGGCCATTTTGAAGAAATGTAGCATGATAGTACCAGCAGATGTCCTCAGTGTGCTGCATTTCAAACACATCTGACCAGTGAATCCAGCTCCTGTAATTCAATTCAATTCAGCTTTATTTGTATAGCGCTTTTACAATGTACATTGTGTCAAAGCAGCTTCACATAAATGGTCATAGTAAATTGGAACAGTGTAGTTCAGTACTTAGTGTTTAAGTTCAGTTCAGTGTGGTTTAATAATCACTACTGAGGGTCTAAACACTGAAGAGCAAATCCATCGATGCGTAGCTCTACCGATCTCAAACCATGCAAGCTAGTGGCGACAGCGGAGAGGGGAAAAAAACTTCACCAATTGGCGATAGTGAAGTTAAAAACCTTGAGAGAAACCAGACTCCGTTGGGAATGACCATTTTAATTTATCCGCTGGCCAAACGTCTCGTGCAGAGCTGCGGTCTTAGCAGTAATCTATCCAATCCATATAGTGGATAAAACATCACGTTTTAGCATAGCAATAGCGGTCAATGTAGTGTCGTGGAATAAAAACAACAAAAACTAATTTAAAGGGGGTAACACAAAGACAACAAAACTAGGATGCCTGAGGTACTTTCATTTTACTTTAATTTGCTAGCTTGCTTTGCAATTATTATTTTTATTTTATGTATTTTTTTATCATTACCATTTGGTATAACCAATTGTCTTCATTCATTCATTTTTTCATTTTGTTTTCATTCATTTTTCAAGAGGGAGTTTTAACTTCAAACACTTCACAAAAACTGCCTTCTTTCATCTCTGCAATATTGCACGGATTAGACCATTTCTCTCACGACCTGTTGCTGAGAGGCTTATCCATGCCTTTATTACATCACGTCTTGATTTTTGTAATTCACTTTATTGGGGGTTTACCAACAAGTTCTCTCAGAAGATTACAGCATATTGAAAATTCTGCTGCACGGGTTCTGACACACACATCATCACGCCACCATATTACTCCTGTACTACAACAAGTACACTGGCTTCCTATTAAATCACGGACTGATTTTAAGACCTTGATTTTAACCTTCAAAGCAGTGCATGGACTAGCACCTGGTTACATCTTTGGCCTGGTGACTCTCGCTACCCCAGACCACAGACTTCGTTCGACATCGGGACTTACCCTGTATCAGCCACTCTGTAAACTCAAGACCATGGGTGGAAGGGGTTTCTCATACAGTGTGCCTAAGCTGTGTAATTCCTTACCCATCAGCATTATAAATGCTGCCTCTCTGAACAGTTTTAAGAAACTTCTTAAGACTCGTGTTTTAGCATTGCTTTTAACTTAAGATGATCAATTTGTTAACTTATTATTCTATCTTATGGTTCATATTATTTTTGGTTAAATGCATCTTTGTATTGTTGTGCTGTTTTGCTTGCCTTGTATTGTTAGTATTTTGCCTTGCAGCGCTTTGAGTTTAAGAAAAGCGCATTACAAATAAAATGTGTTATTATTATTATTATTATTTCCGGCTTAGTCCCTTTATTAATCAGGGGTCGCCACAGTGGAATGAACTGCCAACTTATCCAGTATATGTTTTATGCAGCGGATGCCCTTCCAGCTGCAACCCATCACTGGAAAACATCCATACACACACATACACTATAGACAATTTAGCCTATAGCACATGTCTTTAGACTGTGGGGGAAACCGGACCACTCGGAGGAAACCCACACGAATACAGGGAGAACAAGCAAACTCCACACAGAAACACCAACTGACCCAGCAGGGGCTCGAACCAGCGAACCAGCGACCTTCTTGCTGTAAGGCAATTGTGCAACCCACTGCGCCACCGTGCAGCCTTCAAGGTGTTCATTATCTTTAAATAATCTTTAAATCGCTGAAAGTGAAGACTACAGAAATGGAAACCCTACAAGATTTACATATAAACACAGATGTTATTGTGTCTAAAGTGGACGTTAAGAGTGAAGAGAAAAGGGGTTGTTCACCCTAAAATTTAATCCTGTCAACATTTGCTCACTCTGATGACGTCCCTAATCAGTATTAATTTCTATAATCTTGTGTGTGGACCACTGACGTCTTGAGAGTGAGTAAATAATGACAGGATTTGCATGTTTGGGTTTCTGAATATGCCTTTAATATTGATAAATCAACAAAACATTTATTTGTAGGGATGTAACGGTATTGTAAATACTGCAATAGTAATTTTTTTCAATATTACCGTAGGCGCATGACTCAATAAAACTATATTTCTGAGAAAAGTTTGCTCAGGCGAATGAAGCGAACGGGAGGTAGCGGGAACTACAATTCCCATCAGCCTAGGCATGGCCATCATCCTTTGCGGTCTGTTGTCACTACAGATCCAGTAATGTTGAAATGGAGTGTGTTGCTAGTAGCGGGGAAGTAAAAGAGCTGGAAATGATCGAACCTAAAGAGGGTTTTAAATCGGATGTGTGGAAGCATTTCGGTTTCTTTTTAAAAAGATACGAAAAAGGAGAAAAAGTGACAGACAAAGAAAACAAAACAGTATGCAGGCACTGCCAGACTGTGGTGAAATATAAGTCGGGGAATACGACTAAAAACAGTCATGGGGACTGCAGAACACAGCACACTTGTTAGATTGAAGCAGACATTGACTTGTACAGCAAAGAGATCTCTATCTCACTCATGGCTTGTCCTCTCAAGTGGTGGAAAGACAATGCACAACGTTACCCACTGCTGTCAACCTTGGCTAAATCATATCTCTCTGTCCCAGAAACCTCAGTCCCAAATGAGAGGGGTTTTTTTTTCTGTTGCAGGGGACATTTTAAATGCCCAGAGATTCCAGCTTTTACCAGATTATAGTTATATGATAATTTTCCTTAAAAAAAAACATCTCTATCTAAGTGAGTGCGTGATTAAACGTTGAATGTGATGAGTTTTCAACAATACTACATTGAAACTATTTTTTTGTTATTAAAATTGAAAAATTGAAGTTCCTGTTTCGAAACTTTCAGATAGATGGCTAATTTGAATGTCATTGATATATTCAGTGCTAAGGTAAATAAACACTTTTGGCACTTTTTTCGAGTCTTTTCATTAGTTTTGTTTTTCCTGTAAATTATTCAATAAATACCGTACCGTGCCATTCATACCGAGGCATTATCGTACCATTAAATTCTAATACCGTTACGTCCCTAGTAATCACTGTGACAGAAATTAGCTAAAGCAGCACATTTTGTTACAAACACTCCAGACACAATCAACAGTGAAAAGTCAAAGTAAAACGTTATTTTCAAAGCTTCATATTAGGTAAAACCGTGAGCCATGTTTCGTCCTTCGTCTTTTCATTAGTTTTGTTTTTCCTGTAAATTATTCAGTAAATACCGTACCGTGCCATTCATACCGAGGCATTATCGTACCGTGAAATTCTGATACCGTTACGTCACTATTTATTTGTGTGGAGAAGTTCATTCAATTTCCTTAATGCTTTTGCTAAATACACCTTCTATAGCTGAAATATAAATCCATGTTGGCTTGATTTGTATGTAATGTGTATTTGTAATGTAAATCTCTCCACACTTTTGGTTGAATTTTGTTTGAAATTGTGTCACTTCAGTTCTCATTTAAAGTACAACGGAGCCATTTGTGTTCGTTTTGTTTAAATTGTATTGCCTTGTAAGGTTTTGTTTTTACAAATGAGAAAATTGGTCTGGCTGTACTGCTCAGACAGCCTGTAGAATAGTAAAAGAAAAATAATTAGGGCTGCGCAATTTAACGTACAATCTCAGCATCGATATCACAATGTGCAAATCCACAATGCAATGTCAGTTTAAGTTCAGAACTGTTGCCAAACTCCACCTAGACCACAAGCCAAATAAGCGACATGTGCCATAAAGCAGATCGTACTGTTCTGCTCATTGTGCCGATGGCAGGGACGGGTGTAGCCGTGTGTACCAACTCAAACACCCAAAGCTGCAGAGTGTGATTCTGCCAGGAGAATTCAACTAGTTAGTGGTAAAATGATTGTAGAGTCATTCATTTACTGAGAAAGTTCACCCGAAAAATGTCAATTTACTTACGATTTACTCTCCCTCAAGTGATTATAAACATTTACAAATTATATAGAGTCAATCTAGGGCCATACATACAGATATATAGCGAGAGAGAGAATTTTTTAAAGATTTTTTAAAATTAATTTCTAGACAGTCAAAAGTTTACACACATTTTTTTAGGATTTTTTTAGCTTTCCTTTAAACTTTATAACTTTGGTCAGATGTTTTGGGCATCCTTCCACAAGCTTCTCACAATAGTTTTGCAATTTTGGCCCATTCATCCTGACAGAATTGGTGTAACTGAGTCAGATTTGTTTTGTTCGCACAAGCTTTTTCAACTCTGCCTACAAATGTTCTATAGGACTGAGATCAGGGCTTTGTGATGGCCACTTCAAAACATTCACTCTGTTGTCCTTAAAGCACATTTTACATAATTTGGCAGTATGCTGAGGGTCATGGTCTGTTTGGAAGAGCCATTTGTGGTCAAGTTTTAATTTCCTGGCTGATGTCTTGAGATGTTGCTTCAGTATTTCTCCATAATGTTCTTTCTTCATGATGCCATCTATGCTGTGAAGTGGACCAGTCCCTCCTGCAGCAAAACAGCCCCACAACATGATGCTGCCGCCCACATACTTCACAGTTGGGATGGTGTTGTAGGCTTGTAAGCTTTCCCCTTTGTCCTCCAAATGTAACACTGGTCATTATGGCCAAACAGCTCAATCTTAGCTCCATCAGAGCACAGGACATGTCTCCAAACATTACTCTTTTTCCAGTGTAATTTAGCTAATTGTAATCTGGCTTTCTTGTTGATTCTGGCTTGTTGATTTTCTCATGTTGTCACAGAAGGAAGCAGTGTGTTTGAGCTTTTCCTTCA